GTGTCAGCAGAAGTTCAGGATGACGTCACTCACTCTATGGTTCTCTTACACGACTTTGAAAGATGGGAACTTTTTAAAAAAATTTGCACAAAATGAGCTAAAAAAAAAATCAAATCAAATCAAATGTTGCAGCATCAGTAATTCACACCCACGCAGAGAGGGATCATGATCGGAGCAGCTGCTGGAGAGACTGTCTGGTCTACAGACCTGGGACTGGGTGAGGACTAACCTGTGGTCTACAGACCTGGGACTGGGTCAGGACTAACCTGTGGTCTACAGACCTGGGACTGGGTCAGGACTAACCTGTGGTCTACAGACCACCTGACTAAGCTCACGGTCATGGTCCTGTAGGAGGCGCTGCCCTCATCCAGAGATTGAATAAAAATGGATGGCCATTTTTAAAAGACCTGAGGATTTATCAACTTGATCTCCAGTTATGCAGTTTTAGCTCTCTGAAATGTAATTACGATTAATCGTGATTAATTAGGATCATTATTGATTCTCCAACCTGGATTTAACCCCTTGTTCTCCTGACGGAACACACAGACTATCAACATATCAATTAGTAAAGAACCCAACAATAAAGTTTGACCTCTGACAAAACAGACCACCTACCACAGTTGAGCTCCTCAGCCGTGAGGGTCGCCACCGATCTGCCCTGCAGGCGACTCGGGTAGTCACAGGTAGCAGCCGCCTGAGCGTTGCCCGATTCGGCGTACTGTTTCAGCAGGTCAGCCAACCACAGCAGCTCGCAGTCACAGTTTAACGCATTGGAATCCAGTCGCCTGAACACACACACACACACACACACAAACACAGACAGACAATCACTGACAGCTGGGACATGGACATGTGACACTGATGAAGTAATCCTGGACTGAGAGCAGAGCCCGTATGGTCCAGTCTAGGCAGGTCTACTCCGGTCGAGTACAGTCCAGTCCGTTCCGGTCCGGTCCAGTCCGTTCCGTTCCGGTCCAGTCCGTTCCGGTCTGGTCCGGTCCAGTTCTGGTCTGGTCCAGTCAGGTCTAGTTTTATATATAATTAACCTTATATGTATAAGGTTAATATATTAGTCTGCTGCGTGTTTTTAAGTGTTTCAGACGGGGGGCCGGGGGGGTCAATTATTTTTAATCTGAATAATTACAGGATAGTTGTAGATTAATCATGATTAACGATTAATTGAGATTAATCAGTTAATCATAACCAACCGTGATTAGTGATGTCCGATAATATCGTCCGGCCTGACGTTATCGGATAATTATGAAATGTCTGTTAGAATCCTTATCGTTTGTTCCTCTGATAATGAAAACCCGATGACGCAATGTCTGGGTTTCGCAAAATGATGTGAGCTCTAAAAATAGTTTTGGGGAAAAACGTCTGTATATGAAAATGAAAGTCACTAGATGGCAGCGTTGCAGCTTGTTTAATTAATCTAGTCTAATAATCAGTGGTTTGTACAGATAAATAAATATGACCAGGCTATATCAGTATCGGTTGATATCGGAACCAGAAATTAAGTGTTTGGACAATTTTGGCAAATGGGATATCGGCAGAAAGTTCTGATTAACTGCTTAGTTCAGATGAATCATCTTCTGTGTGGAGCTCTCTCCCTCCTTTCTCACCCGGACGTTCTCCCTGCGACAGGAACCACCAGGCAGCTCAAAACCCCTGACGACTGTGTGCTGTGTTTGCACGTCTTCCACCAACAGACGGGCTGTGCTTCATGCCACGAGTGTCATGGGAGAAAACTACAAAAAGTGCCGCAGACGTGTACTCTGAAGCAGCTGCGTCTGTGGGGTTTTGGTTTTTTTCTACTTACAGTCGCTTCATGGTTTGAAGATGTGAGAAGGTCCCTGGAACTAGGTGGGTAATTCTGTTGTTGTGCAGAAAACTAAATGAGAAACAGGAAGAAATGATTAGTCACCACAGTCCATGAATGCATCAGTACCAGGAGCAGTTAGAATCTGATTCAAAAATATTTGATTGGCATTTTTTTAAGATGTGCAACGAATTCCCATCGTCTTCCCAGACGTGCGATAAGCTCCAGGATGTTTCCGCAAAAGAGAAAAATAACAAATTTCACAGTTTTTCATTTGAGGCCCATAACATTTGTATGTGCCTCAAACAGTGGTACGCTGCAGAACCATGAACACACACAGGAGACATGAGATTATCCTGGTTAATCTGGACTAGGACTTTAAACTAACCGTACTCTACTAGATATCAGATTTAAAGCTAACTGCTACTTAAGGGTTAGCACACAGACGCCTGCTAACGCTGATGATTTCAAACAGTACAGTTAATGCTAGGTCTGGAAAAAACAACAACCCTGTTGTTAGGCTCGAAAAAACTGGTTGACGATGAGGGTTCAACTTTGTTATTCTGAAGGACTTGACGGGGGCTCCCCCACAGCTAACTTCAACAACAGCTAATGACTAGTTAGTAGGGATGTCCGATAATATCGGCCGACTGATATTATCGGCCCGATATTAGCATATTTATGTCAAATCTGTAATATCGTTATCGCTTTTCCTCTGATAATGAAAACCCAATAACGCAATGTCTGGTTTTCGACAAATGATGTGTGCCCTAAAAATAGTTTGGGGGAAAAACAGTTGTATATGAAGGTGAAACCCACTAGATGGCAGCATTACAGCTCATTTTATCAATCTTTTTTAATAATCAGGGGATTGTATTCAGAATGATGGTTCCAGCAACTCTAAAATAAAATATATATGGTGCCCAAAGGCACAAAGTTACAACAGGACATCCCTACAAGTTAGCTTCAGCCTCTTCTGATCACGTTTGAGAAACGATTTGTGCTGTAAATCAGCTGATCTCGATCGTTTGCTGAGAATCTCACAAAATAAAGTCAACAAACTCACAGTCGTTCCAGTTTTGGTAGAAATGTGAAAGATTCCGGTTCCAAGGACTCAATGTTGTTGAAGTGCAGATACCTGGAAAAGAACAAAGTCTGAACAAGACACAACCAAACTGGTTAAAGACCCTCCGACCCCCCCGACCACCAACCGTCTACAGCTACAGTCACTGTCCTAAAAGTCAAACCTACAGAACCATATGGGTGTCCTCTCCTCATCCTTCCCTGACACGTCAAACTTTGGGAACATTCAAAAGAGTCGGTGAAGTTCAGGAATTCATGTCAACAATGAACCAGATCTGAACAAATAAAAATGGATTTGCCCAAAGACGCAGAGTAATTCTCCTCAAATATTTCACAAAAAAAAAAAACCAACATGGCACCAAACGTAGCTGTCAGGGTTTGGATCTGCTTGTTCAGGCACAGAACGCAAAAATTAAATTAGCTGCAGCAGCAAACCAGACACAGAGAAAGACAATAACGCTACAGTGTTTACAGCAGCAGCAGAACGCACCGACGTTCTTTGGTGCGAGATCATTCTTGGCTGGACTTCAGACATTACCTCTCCAGTTTTGCCTAAAGTGTGAGGGGCAATAATGCAGTCCAGACCCACCAGAGACGGAGAGCGTCGACAACTCCACCAGTCACCTCACCTCACAGACCTGCGCGAATGTTTACGACGCGAGGCACAAACCTGCACCAAAGACGTGTTTTTGACAATCCTGGCATTTCAGTCACAACCCCACGAAAAAGCTGTTGATGTCCGATAATATCGGTCGGCCGATATGATCATAGCTACATCATATCTGTAAGAATCAATATAGTTTTCCTCCGATAATGAAAACCCGATAACACAAAGCCTGGGTTTCGCCAAATGACGTGTGTCCTAAATGTCTGGGTTTCACCAAATGACTGTGTGTGACCTAAAAATAGTTTTTGGGAAAAAAAAGACGCGTATGTGAAAGTGAAAGTCACTAGATGGCAGCATTGCAGCTCATTTTATTAATCTACGTTAACAATCGGGGAATTGTTTGCCCCCTGCTGGTGTCAACAACTGATACAGTGGTTTGTTCAGATAAACAAATAAATATTACCAGGCGCTACATCGGTATTGGTTGTTATCGGAATCGGAAATGAAGCGTTTGGACAGTATTGGCATATCGGCAAAAAGTTAATATCGGACATCCCTAGTTTTTTGTGTCCAAACACGATCCAAGTCAGAACTTGTCACCCACGTATAAAACCTTTCATTATTGCTGTTAAATTCAGAACAGCTGCCGGGCTCGGAGCCTGCTTTTCAAATTGCTTGCGCTCCATGAATTAGCCATTTGTTTTGCGTTAATGTGGCAGAATGAAGCAGTGAGGCTCACCCCCTCCTTCTCCCTCCCCCCGCCTCCCTCCAGGGTTTCAGAAAAAAAAAGAAACCCTCATGTCACGGCCTAGAAGAAGCCGGAGACGCTGAGATAACGTAGCTGCGGGGCTAGTTTCTGCGAGTCACCGCTGTACTTGGCATTTGAAGTACGTTTTCCTCTCAGCTCTGCCAGTGTGCTGCATCAGGCACCGCCAGGGTTTCTGAAAAAGAACGACGGTCCAGGAAGCAGCAGGACTCTAACCACACAGAGTGAACTACACTATGGAACTGAAATGTATTTACAATAAAATAATAAATAAACACAGATGGCAGCAGAGGCTTCCACGACAGCAGCACAGACGTCAAGTCCAGCCTCGCTGTGACTCCAGGACCGGTCATGCTGAAAGTGTTTCACAGGGAATCAGTGTTGGAGGGTGGGGGGGCGGTGGTGGTGGT